GCATGTCCATGTGTGTGTTGTTCTTCAGGTATGTCTTCGCTCTGAACATGTTTGCTCTGGGCTGTATAAACTCCACCGAGTGGGCTGTGTATCAGGACTGGCACTCGTTCCTCATTGAGCAGTTTGGGCATCGGGTTCAGCTGGAGGGCATCATTTACCTGCGCGCTTCTCCACAGGTCTGCACTGCTACCGTTCATACTGATGGTGGTTTTAATACTTTTTAGCTACATCACTGTCATCGATGTGCTGCTGAAATAAACAATACTCTGGAGAGCTGCCATTGACTTCCTTTGTATTTTTAGTTCCTATTATGGATGTCAATGGCTGCTTTTTACCCAACATTCTTCAGCGTATCTTGTTTTGTGTTCAACAGAAGGAAGAAACTCAAATAATTACAACCATTTGAAAGACAAATGGATAGATAGATAGATGGATGGATGGATAGATAGATAGATAGATAGATAGATAGATAGATAGATAGATAGATAGATGATCGATAGATAGATAGATAGATAGATAGATAGATAGATAGATAGATAGATAGATAGATAGATAGATAGATAGATAGATAGATAGATAGATAGATAGATAGATAGACGGATGCAGAGACAAATGGACAGACAGATAGACCAATTGATGGATGGATGGATAGACACAGACAAATTTATAGATTGATTGATAGATAGATAGATGGATGGATGGGCAAATTAATACATGGATGGATTAAGAGATGGATGGATGGATGGATGGATGGATGGATGGATGGATGGATAGACGGATGCAGAGACAAATGGACACAGATAGACCAATTGATGGATGGATGAATGGATGGATAGACACATTTATGGATTGATTGATAGATAGATGGATGGATGGATGAGCAAATTAATACATGGATGGATTAAGAGATAGATGGGTGGATGGATGGATGGACGGATGCAGAGACAAATGGACAGATAGACCAATTGATGGATGGATGGATGGATAGACAGACAGACAAATTTATGGATTGATTGATAGGCAGACAGTTAGATGGATAAACAGATGGATGGACGGATAGATAGATTGAAGGATAGATTAATGGATGGGCAAATTAATACGTGGATGGATGGACAGTCTGATGAATTAATTGATGGACATACGGATGCATAGACAAATGGATGGATTGATGGAGGGATGGATGGATGGACAGTCGGATAAATTAATTGATGGACAGACAAATGGATGGACAGATAGATAGATGGATGGATGGATAGATTAATGGATGGATAGACAGATTAATGGATGGACGGATAGATGGATGGACGGATAGATTAATTGATGGATGTACGGATAAATAGACAAATGGATGGACAGATAGACCAATTGATGGATGGATGGATGGATGGACAGATAGATTAATGGATGGACAGATGGATGGATGGATGGATGGATGGACAAACAGATTAATTGATGGATGTACGGATGCATAGACAAATGGATAGACAGATAGACTAATTAATAGTTGAATGAACAGTTGGATGGACGAATAGATGGATGGATGGATGGATAAATGGACCATTGGCTTGATAGGTGCACAGACAGATGGATAGATGAACAGAAAGGACAAATAGATATGGATGAATCCTAAACCGTAAATAAATGTTGATTGTTGTTGTGCAGATGTGTCTGGAGAGGTTAAACAGGCGTGCTCGAGTAGAGGAACAAGAGATCGAGCTGGATTACCTGGAGAAACTGCACACCAGACATGAAGACTGGCTCATCAACAAGACTACCACGTCAGTCTCTTTACTGCCATCTCAAACAATTTCCCACAAGATGTTTTTTAGTTTTGATGGCTGTCAGACTGTCAGCTGATAAGTTTTCGGATGGAGCCTTTAATAGTTTTTTCACATATTTTGGGTGAACTGGGTCTTTGAGTAACACTCAGAATGCTGCTGATTGTGGGCTGTGTATTGTGTGGATACCAGAGCTTGATTTGTGCTCTTCTCTCTCTGCACACAGGCTTCATTTCGAGCAGCTGATGAAAGTGCCCGTGTTGGTTCTGGATGCTGAAGTAGCATTTGAGCAAAACCCTGAGGTTCAGGACTGTTTATTATCTAAGGTACATGTTTTGCATGTTTGGATAAAGTGTGTGCAACATGAAGCAACTCTTTAGATTTATAGTTTTCATTTGGGATGCAGCAATTTTGGCGGAATTGGGATTCGTTTAAAGCAGTTGGCAATAATATAAAATGGCAGATACTAGTGGTTTATTAAATACATGGAGGAAATACATGAGCTACACAACTTTTGAATAAAGCCTTGGTCAGATCACACACAATTGTCACGATTTCCTTGACGTAGAGCAGGGGTGGCCAACCCTGTTCCTGGAGAGCCACCTTCCTGCAGATTTCAGTTGCAACCCATATCAAACACACCTGCCTGTAATTATCAAGTACTGTTCAAGTCCTAATTAATTGGTTCAGGTGTGCTTGATATGGGTAGCAACTGAAATCTGCAGCAAGGTGGCTCTCCAGGAACAGGGTTGGCCACCCCTGACGAAGAGTGTCGTGGGGATTTGTTAATGAGAAATGGGCGTCATGACACAAGATTCATTTGTTTATTCTTGTGTAATGTTGCATAGTTAGAATAGAAATCAAGCAACACCGAGTTTATTAAATAAATGTTCTGTTGTATGTCAAATAAAAGCTAAAAATAGCTAGTACTGTATGCGATTGACCAATATTGCTATCGGGATCAAAATAGGCCCAAAATAAAACTACATATACTATACTAATAATACTAATCTTTCTGATATTCTTAGTATTTTTAAGTGTCATAAAGTTCATTAGTACTGGCCACTTTTTTCTCAGGTGCTGCTTCTGAAAAGAGTTTTCCCATAGAAATAAAATAATAATGATAAACTGTTATCAATGCAATCTCACGGCAATTCGTAACTTTGATTTAGTGGCTAATTCGTATGAATTAGTATGATCTAATTCGTACAATTTAGTATGATTGGCTCATCACCCAATGACAGTTGGGGTTAGGGGTGGGGTTGGGTGCCACGCCTCCTTTTTAAAAGCATACATTTTCGTACGACTAAACTCGCCACTAAACTGATAAAACGAAAAATACTTACGTTTCCTCGTGAGATCAGACTGGTTATATCCATTAATCAAACACTCAGTGAGTCAGCTTTGAAGAAAATCACACTACAAACTTTATTTTTAAGTCAATGAAATGTTCTGATGTCGCTCCTAATGGTTATGTTTAGCTTTAAGAAACATATTGAAACTGTATTTTTTTTCTGCTGTTCTGCAGGTCAGAGACTTTTTAAGTCAATTATAAACTGCTTGATGGGACCGAAATGGACAGTGGACCATTACTTGTCCTCGACAGATTCTGGGTTTTTGGACCAAATCTCAGATCTGATGTTTCTGCTGCTGAAGATCTTCATTTCTAATGGGGTTTTGTTCATGTTTAACAGTAAAGATGAAGATGTTTTATTTTGCGTAATGAAAACAGTACTGTGACGTATATATAAACTGTAAATATGTTTTGTAATGTATTTATTTCAATAAACATGTATAACTAATTAACGAGATATGAATGTGCTTAATTGCTCAAATTTGTTTCTAAATAAAACGTATTTTAATTATAGTGATGCCTACATTAGATAGAAAGTGTTCAAATATAAAGTTTACTAACAAATGTTAAATTACAAGGGTATGTTATTCATAAAGACAATAATGTGAGATAATTTCAGCACATTAATTGGTGATGATAGCCTGAATGTGAAGGACAGACTGCATCAGATTGCACCTTTCAGTGTTTTTCACCCATTTTTTCATGAGGACAACAACATTTATCATCGGGAGGCGCCATAATCCCTTACGTGGAGGATATTTGCGTTCACAATAGATGAAGGCGCCATAATCCCTTATGTGGGGGAATTTTGCGTTCACAATAAAATAATGAAGTAATCCAACATCAGTGTCTGATAGCTCCGCCCCTTCGACGTGACGTGAGCAAAACTGACCGTTAAGTGAATGAAGTATTCAAAATTACACCCTTATTATTTAACGGTTGAATAAATAAGTGTTATTCGGCTATTTAAAGTGCTCTTAATCATGTTGGTGCTGTTATTTTTTGGCGTGAATGAACTACTGACTATTTATAGTCCAAAATGTCGCAGAATAGTTCATTATTATGTGATTTGAGACGCGCCTTTGTCTTTAACCGAACGATTTCCCTCAACAAACATGAAAACAACAATTCACTACAGAACAAGTAAGTTAAAGCCACATCTAAGGCGAATTCTCTCTTTTATATTGATGTCTGTAATGTAATCTGGTTAGTGTTTTCTTTGGTTAAGCTTTTATTGGGTTAATATAACGTAAGTGAATAAACGGATGCAGCAGAGAAATGAAGGACTGTTTATTCAGCTTTATAAATCTTGATGTGTGAGCTGTTTTGTCATCACTAAGACATGATAATACTCCACATTATGCAAGGGAATCCTTCAAATACTAGCTCTAAAGTGATTTTCTTTTTTATACACTATTATGCACTGAGGTAAAGTATTTTCACACATTCCTACATTCTCAATAATATAATCTCAGAAAAATATTTTTTGCCAATTCTGAATCGAACAATCATACCAGCAGCTAATGATTATGAAAGTACAACAGTGTTTACAGTCAAATAGTGTTAATGTTGTTTTTAAGTCATACTAAAATGCAATCTCAGACCCAACATTCAAATTATCTGGGTTAACAATACGGGAGCGCTAAAATCAACAAATGTGCTCATCTAAAATTAAATTTACCATGATTATGCTGTTAAACTGTTATATAAACAACATTACACATGTAGCACTGCAATACGACTTTATATCGGCACTGTGGGTCACAAAATCACTGAGATTTGAATCATATTTTTACGTCAAGAAATACTAAAAAAAGACACTTGTTGTGTTTGTATCACTCTGATATGACAAATGCGCAAGCAGGAAATGCTGTAATTGACACATTTTATTCCATTTTAGCATTCAGTACATATAATGTCTTTTTAACACTTTAATGTTTACATATTCATTCACAGGCCACTTTATTAGGTACACCTGTCCCACTGCTCATTAATGCAAAATTTCTTATCAGCAACTCAATGAACACTGAGGCTACATTTCTTGGCATTGGGTATTTTCTTGGCACACTTTGAGCCCATTAGTACCAATTGAGCATCATGTCAACGCCACAGGCTACCTGTGTATTGTTGCTGACCATGTCCATTCCTTTATGAGCACAGTGTACTCATCTTCTGATGGCTACTTCCAGCAGGATAATGCACCAATATGGAGCAAAATCTTTAAGGAATATTTCCAGTACCTTGTTCAACCGGTCTATCTAATAAAGTGGCTGGTGAGTGTACAAATATTGGATACAATAATGTTGTAATAGAATTAAACTGCTGCTGATATTGTACACATATACATCAAGATTGTATTCAGCTTAGCAAAATAATTACAATACAGCATAATGAGAAAAACTTCTGATAAATCAAGCGATATACATGGAAAACAAATAAACATTGGTTTATTTTCTTGACATTCTGTGATTTTAAGTCATTTGGGTTTCTTTTTAGAGTGGGTTTGAGGCAATTTTGTGAATTTTTTAGGGTTTCTCTCCAGTGTGAATCCTCTGATGTTTTTTTAGCGTTCCTAACAGACTAAATCTCTTGTCGCAGTGTGAACACACGTATGGTTTCTCTCCAGTGTGAATCCTCTCATGTGTTTTCAGGGTTCCTAACAGACTGAATGTCTTGCCGCAGTGTGAACACGCGTACGGTTTCTCTCCAGTGTGAATCCTCTGGTGCAGTTTCAGTTCTCCAGCTGTAATAAAAGTCTTCTCACATGCAAAGCACACATACTCTCTCACACCAGTGTGGATCTTCTGATGTGCTTTTAAACTTTGCTGATATTTAAATCTCTTCCCACACAAAGAACATGAATAAGGTCTCTCCTTTGTGTGAACTCTAAGATGGCTCTTCAGATCTGAAACACTCAAAAATGTTTTGCTGCATTGATCACATTCGTGTGTTTTCTCTCCAGTGTGGATCAACATGTGTTTATTAAGGTTTGATGATTGTCTGAAAGTCGTCCCACACTGAACACATGTGAACGGTTTCTCGCCAGTGTGGATCTTCATGTGGTCATTAAGGGCTGATGATTGTCTAAAACTCGTCCCGCACTGAGCACATGAGAACGGTTTCTCTCCAGTGTGGATCAACATGTGTTGATTAAGGTGTGATGAACGTCTGAAACTCGTCCCGCACTGAGCACATGTGAACGGTTTCTCTCCAGTGTGGATCAACATGTGTTTATTAAGGGCTGATAAATGTCTGAAACTCTTTCCGCACTGAACACATGTGAACGGTTTTTCTCCAGTGTGAATATTCATGTGTTCATTAAGGGTTGACGACTGTCTAAAACCCGTCCCACACTGAACACATGTGAACGGTTTCTCTCCAGTGTGAATCTTCATATGCTGATTAAGGGCTGATGTATGTCTGAAACTCGTCCCGCACTGAGCACATGTGAATGGTTTCTCTCCAGTGTGGATCAACATGTGAATCCTGAGACTCTTTTTGCAGCTCAGACTCTTTCCACACTGAGTGCAGGTCAAACATGTTTTGTTTTTTCTCTTCAGTGAGCCAGTTTTCTCTTTTGTCTCCTCCATTAGACCTGAAATAAAAGAAAGTAACTGCATTTTAAATAAAATATTAATAAATCACAGGACTCCAAATTAACCTTTTTGCTTGGTAGCACCGGTGCACCTACCTTTAAAAATGTGGGCGCATCAACCAAAATTTAGTCGCACCCACCAATTATAAGCACCATTACTACAAGTTTTATACAAAAATATTTATTGCATTTGAAATCAACACTAATCAAACTAACAAGCAAGAAAATATATATGTAAGCGTGAGGAAAATATGTCTCAACGAAATCCCGTGATCACAAGAAAATAATTTTTTCTTCAACATAACTGAGTGACCAAAAGATACACCGACCGCTCACCGGCCCTGCACGCACTGCTTGACATGAGTGAATCTGTTAACGATATAACTGTGCTGTTCTCACGGGTCGTGTCTGATATTGCACTGATGCTTTTGACATATGCTGTACCTTATTATATGCATACATCATGTTAATAGCAATACCGGTCTTTTCAGGAGTAGCAATATTAGTTTACTCAGTGTAAGCCCGTTTGCGATGGTGTACGTGGTGTGACATTTGAGATAGGAAAGACTAATGCAAACTTATAATTTTAGTGCTCTGCAGCTTCAAACCAGATGGCTATGAGGCGCCGAGTAGGATTTAAATCAAACTTTGCTCATCAACACATACATAACACGTGCATATACACCTATAAATTACTCGCATGTACACCTATACTATTGAATGTTCAAAACATGTATGAAACTTGTGCATATACAGTACATATAAACTTGATGCATGTACAACTCGATTCTTACATGTACTCGATCCTCGCTTAAACACCTAAATTAACACTCACATACACACACTCGCTGCATGCTGGCATATAGCACTCGTGCAAACTTACAAAATAAAATTCACAAACATATTTACCAGGAATCAGGTTATTGCAAAGCTGATGAAATAGAAGGAATGTGATTAATAGAGATATTAAATCTGTTAAATAATGAAAGTGTTATAAAAAATAATATAAAATATTAGTCGATATAAATAGACTTTATAAAATATATAAGAACTATTTTATGTTAAACCTTTTTAATTTAATTGGGTAATTATACTCAAATATAAATGGACAGATTGAACCCTTAAAGGACGTTCAATAATAAAAGCAACCAGAACTCTGAATATACTCAAACAACTCTTTTCTATTGCAAATATTCATGTAGCCTGTACTCTCTTTGACTTTATAACTCGCATTTCTGACTCAATATTTTTGACATTGTATTTATTTATTATTTAATCAGTGGCGGGAACGCGCTTCTATAGTCACCTTTTCTGTGAGGCAAAACAAAGACAATCAGCGTGATTATATAGGAGGATTTACTGACTAATCTAACATAAACAGAGAAATGAAAGAAAGCAAAGAAAATAAAGGATTTTATATAAAATACTGGCAAATCTCACTCAGCTCCACACTATTAAGAACCACCAAGACTATAAACACCTTTCTGAAAAAGCAGCATAACGCAAGACAACATACCTGAGTTTAGTGGGACTTTTTCTCTCTCTCTCTCTTGTTGTGGCAGTTTCTTCATACTTGGAAGATGAAAGCTTTTAAAAATTCATTTCGTTGGTGTGGAGTTTGCGATGCAGATCGGAGATTCGGAGGATACGCGAGACGCAAACTTTAAACGTCTTCTTCTTCCTGGTTTTTAGTCGAGTTGCGAACCGGGGTGCGTATCGCCCCCTACTGTGATGGAGTGTGAAGAAACTGACTGGTTTCCTAAATTCTTATGTATAATCCACTTTTCTTAATGAATCTTATAATTACCTTTATTTGTCTCCCTGAAGCTAAACCACGTTTTAATAAACCTTTTATTGTGAAATCCTGATATCCTCTTTGCATCTCCTCTTTAAGTGTTCTTTCATTTTTATAGTCTTCGTTTTTTCCACCCTTTTCATGAGTACACCCGCATTTACCTTCGGGAGGCGCCATAATCCCTTATGTGGGGGAATTTTGCGTTCACAATAAAATAATGAAGTAATCCAACATCAGTGTCTGATAGCTCCGCCCCTTCGACGTGACGTGAGCAAAACCGACCGTTAAGTGAATAAAGTATTCAAAATTACACCCTTATTATTTAACGGTTGAATAAATAAGTGTTATTCGGCTATTTAAAGTGCTCTTAATCATGTTAGTGCTTTATTTTTCGGTGTGAATGAACTACTGATAATTTATAGTCCAAAATGTCGCATAATAGTTCATAATTATGTGATTTGAGACACGTCTTTGTGTCTTTAACTGAACAATTTCCCTCAACAAACATGAAAACAACATTTCACTACAGAACAGGTGAGTTAAAGCCACATCTAAGGCGAATTCTCTCTTTTATATTGATGTCTGTAATGTAATCTGGTTAGTGTTTGCTTTGGTTAAGCTTTTATAGGCTTAATAACGTAAGTGAATACACGGATGCGGCAGAGAAATGAAGGACTGTTTATTCAGCTTTATAAATCTTGATGTGTGAGCTGTTTTGTCATCACTAAGTCATAATAATACTCCACATTATGCAAGGGAATCCTTCAAATACTAGCTCTAAAGTGGCGTTTTTTTAATTGGCTGTGTTTGATTTTCCGTGTTTGATTTTTCCTCACTGAGGTAAAGTATTTTCACACATTCGGAAATTCTCCTTAATAATATAATCTCAGAAAAGTATTATTTGCTAATTCTTAATCTAACAAAAATATGAATCATATGACTCATAAAAAATATCATTCATAGAATGAATCATATTTTTACATCAGGAAATATTAAAAAAGACACTTGTTGTGTTTGTATCTCTCGGATATGGCAAAAAGTGAAAGCAGGAAATGCTGTAATTGACACATTTTATTCCATTTTAGCATTCAGTACATATAATGTCTTCTTCACACTTTAATAATGTTAACAATCAATCACCGGCCACTTTATTAGGTACACCTGTCCAACTGCTCGTTAATGCAAAATTTCTACACATTAATAAACAATAATTAATTTCTTGACATTCTGTGATTTTAAGTCATTTGGGTTTCTTTTTAGATTGTGTTTGAGGCGATATTGTGTGTGTGTGTTTTTTTAAGGTTTCTCTCCAGTGTGGATCCTCTGATGTTTTTTCAGGGTTCCTAACTGACTAAATGTCTTGCCGCAGTGTGAACACACGTACGGTTTCTCTCCAGTGTGAATCCTCTGGTGCAGTTTCAGTTCTCCAGCTGTAATAAAAGTCTTCTCACACTCAAAGCACATATACTCTCTAACACCAGTGTGGATCTTCTGATGTTTTTTTATACTTTGCTTATATTTAAATATCTTCCCACATAATGAACACGAATAAGGTTTCTCCTTTGTGTGAACTCTAAGATGGACCTTCAGATCTGAAACACTCAAAAATGTTTTGCTGCATTGATCACATTCGTGTGTTCTCTCTCCAGTGTGGATCAACATGTGTTTTTTAAAGTGTGATGATTGTATGAAACTAGTCCCGCACTGCACACATGTGAACGGTTTCTTACCAGTGTGGATCTTCATGTGGTCATTAAGGGCTGACAATTGTCTAAAACTCGTCCCGCACTGAACACATGTGAGCGGTTTCTCTCCAGTGTGGATCAACATGTGTTGATTAAGGTGTGATGATTGTCTGAAACTCATCCCACACTGAGCACATGTGAACGGTTTCTCTCCAGTGTGGATCAACATGTGTTTATTAAGGGCTGATAACTGTCTGAAACTCTTCCTGCACTGAACACATGTGAACGGTTTCTCTCCAGTGTGAATCTTCATGTGTTCACCAAGGGCTGCTGATTGTCTAAAACTCTTCCCGCACTGAACACATGTGAACGGTTTCTCTCCAGTGTGGATCTTCATGTGCTGTTTAAGGGCTGACATACATCTAAAATTCGTCCCACACTGAGCACATTTGAACGGTTTCTCTCCAGTGTGGATCAACATATGCTGATTAAGGCCTGATGAATATCTGAAACTCTTCCCGCACTGAGCACATGTGAACGGTTTCTCTCCAGTGTGCATCATCATGTGATTCCTGAGACTCTGTTTGCTGCCCAGACTCTTTCCACACTGAGTGCAGGTCAAACATGTTTCGTCTTTTCCCTTCAGTGAGCCAGTTTTCTCTTTTGTCTCCTCCATCAGGCCTGAAATAAGTAAGAAACTGCGCTTTAAATCAATTATCAATAAATCATGATTAATCGGTGCTATTTTAGCTTCATTCTATAAGCAAAGTACACTAATACTACAATCATTACTTTTAAAGGGCTCCTATTTTACCAAGATTAGGTTTTTTTTTTTTTTTTTTTTTTTTAAGTCTTTTGTGTCTCCTGAATGTATCTGTAAAGTTTCAGCTTAAAATACCCATCAGATTATTTATATCTTTATGAATGTGGGAAATTTGAGCTGTTAAGACACTGTAGCTGTTTTTGTTACCCGTGTCTTTAATGCAAATGAGCTAGTTCTCCCCACCCACTGTTCCCATTTGCATGTCAGAGCCACTCTCTCTCACTATTATTCGGATGCCTGTAGCCTTCTCTTGCTGCATCTCACGTAGATAAACAGCACAGTGAAAGACAAGAATGAAGCAGATCTCCCTTACTACAGTAAGAACAAGCAAACACACACATGCAAAGTTAAACGTACGTACAATGTATGTACAAATTGAATGGTTAATATGACAGGATACACATTAATATCCACTGTTGTATGGACATCCATTATGTCAATGTACAAAATAAACCTGATTTAAGTCCACAAAGATACTAGTACTTATTAAATAGACACTAGTTTATGTTTATTAGATACTAGTACTTATTTTAATAGTGACTTGTAACTGTTGTTGCTAGTAACACATTTTTAAAAATTAATTGATTTCTATGGGGATCTGTTATTGAGATGTCAACCATTCAGTTTTGTTAGTGTGTATTCCAGCTGGGAATAGTGCATATTTTGATGTACTAGTAGTTAATTATTAGGTACTAGTACTTATTAAATAGATACTAGTACCTATTCATTTGATACCAGTAGGGCTGGACAATAATTCCATATCAATTTATAAATCACAATAGATTTTTTTCAATAACTGGGATGATTTCTAAACCCAATTCCGGTATTTCGATATAAATTTGCATACATACATGTATGTATATTATTGTATATATAAAATCTTATACGTTGCATCAGTTGTCACTGAGTTACGGTCAGTGCTCAGCCGTCGGAAAGAGCGTGACGGCACTTGCATGATGACGTATATTACAGACACACTAACAGCGCTCTGCAGTTGGTTTAGCTCCGTCACAGAAATGTTTAGCTACAAAATGAGTGCCCTGAATACAGATGAGAATAAACAAGTAAGAATGCTGACGAAATAGTAGACGAGAGAGGAAAGACTAATGCAGTGAGGTGGAAGTGGTTCGGCTTTTTAAGTTTCGATAAACTTATAATTTCAGCGCTCTGCAGCTTCAAACCAGATGGCTATGAGGCGCCGTGTGGGATTTAAATCAAACTTTGCTCATCAATACATACATAACACGTGCATATACACCTATAAATTACTCGCATGTACACCTATACTATTGAATGTTCAAAACTTGCGCATATACATATAAACTTGATGCACATACAACTCGATTCTTACATGTACTCGATCCTCGCTTAAACACCTAAATTAACACTCACATACACACACTCGCTGCATGCTGGCATATAGCACTCGTGCAAACTTACAAAATAAAATTCACAAACATATTTACCAGGAATCAGGTTATTGCAAAGCTGATGAAATAGAAGGACTGTGATTAATAGAATATTAAATCTGTTAAATAATGAAAATGTGTTATAAAAGTTAATATAAAATATTAGTCTATATACTGCGAGGCCATGGTGCTCCACCGAAAAAAAGTGGTTTTCCATCTCCAGGTGGGAGGAAAGTCCTTACCCCAGGTGGAGGAGTTCAAGTATCTTGGGATTTTGTTCATGAGTGAGGGAAGGATGGAACGTGAGGTTGACAGGCGGATTGGTGCAGCGGCAGCAGTAATGCGGTCGATGTACCGGTCCGTTGTGGTAAAGAAAAAGCTGAGCTGAAAGGCAACGCTCTCGATTTACCAGTCAATCTACATTCCTACTCTCACCTATGGTCATGAGCTTTGGGTCATAACTGAAAGGACAAGATCTCAGATACAAGCGGCCGAAATGAGTTTTCTTCGAAGGGTGGCAGGGTTCACGCTTATAGACAGGGTGAGGTGCTCTGACACCCGGGAGGAGCTCGGAGTAAAGCCGCTGCTCCTCCACATTGAGAAAAGTCAGCTGAGGTGGCTCGGGCATCTGTTTCGGATGCCTACCTTGGGAGGTGTTTCAGGCATGTCCCCCGAGGCCTCCTCCTGGTGGAAGACCCAGGAAACGCTGGAGAGACTGTGGGCTTTTCTCAATTCCAACAACACAGAGAACGCGTCCATTGAGAAATGAGATGCTGTGTTTTTCCTGATGGTCACATGACCTCGTTTTAAACGGTAAATTATTTAAACATAACAGCATTTATACAGACATGTATTGTTTTTCCCCTTTTCAAAATATATACTCCGCATAAAACATTATAAATATACTCTGCACAATATAAATAAAACAGATTTTAATACGAATTTCAGCAA